TCGAGGAAATAAATAAAAAAGGACAAATTCAAATTCCACAGAGTAGCTGAAACTAACTACCTACCTCCCTTCAGTAGTTCAAGTGAATGAGATTTGTTTAAGCAGTAGGGTTGTGTGCATACTATCAAAACAATCATTCAACATATCACTGGCAATAGACGACAGACTCTTTGCTCCTCTCATCGCTGCTCACTTGTTTATTGCACTTTAATAATGTCTTGATGTTCTTTTTTTTATTTATATATATATATATATATACGGTATGTATATATTTTTTTCGTCTTTTTTACCAGCAAATGATAACAGTTTGGATCATACAGGAGAAACCAAGCACAACGTTGTATGATTGTGTATGTTGGGTGTACACGGTGTATGTTGGACCGCCAAGAGGAGGGTTGTAATGTGTGGATATACAGTAGATGATGATGATGAATGAATTCGTGTTTAGAAATCCCGTCTTAAGGGACACAATGAAAAACGATCACACAAATGGATTAACTTTCCCGAAGAGATTAATGTATAAAACAAGTTGACTTAAGACACCGAGTCAGTGGAAGGAATGAAGAAGTGTGACAGATAATTACCACCGTTTAGATCAATGGTCCCATAGTCATGTCTTAGAATGTTTTAGGAGGAATGAGGATCCTACAATGGTCCAAAATGTGATCTGAAGGAGGAATGAGGATCCTACAATGGTCCAAAATGTGATCTGAAATGAGTATGCCCATTCTCGGGCTTTTTCTGTGATACACGTACAAACTAGAGAAAAAAAATCGTAGAATATGATGGTTATACTTCATTGGGCTATGATGATGGTATTTCATTGGTAGGCAACCACCAGCGGGGGGGCGGAAACCTCCCTCTAGGTATGGCTAGTTTGAGGACAGTTGTAACTAGTAGAAACCAGCTATTTTAGGCCATTAGGACCTTTTAACTAGGGAGGGGTTCAAAATGTTTAGGGTCTTGATCTGAACCATTTTGATAGATGTACATAATTCATTAAGCCTCCTACGTCAAACACAAAGATACTCAGTCATTAAGTAAAGTCTTCTCGGATATATGAGGTATTAAGGAGGGACTCTTGGCTGGACGAGACTGTGAGAGGCTATACCGTTGTCTGGTAGGAGGTGAGCACAACTGTCCGTAGTGTATGTATGTAGTACAGTATTGTGTTACCTTGTTTAACACAGTTTTTCGCTTGACTCGCCAATCTCGATTTGTTTTTAATGAGTTGTATTTGTAGTTATTAACTTCCAGTGGTTATTTTATTAGCTAACTGATGATGATGATAACTATGTTGTTCACAAGTAGTTAACGAGCTAGTGACTGTTTTAGTTGCCTCAGAGAGAGAGGCGAACTTTGCTTCAACAAACTGACTAAGATTTTTGGACGTTTTAAGAATTTTATTTTTGTGCTTGGCAATGTGCATAACACGTAGATGTTTCTTACACAGTAACGCTGATACATTTTGTATATTTTTAGAACACACTTTGCCACGAGTCTTACGCTGAACTTCTAACTATAGTGAACTTCTACCGTAGGTTCAGTCAACACAAGACTCTTCAGATGTTATGGAAACTACACAGCCGTTTTGTATTGGACAAAACTGTTTGAATGTCTGTCCAGCCGCTAAGAGAAGCTGGATGTTAATTGTCCTTTATTTTGTAGCTTTACAGTTATTAGCTTTTTAGTCGAGTTTAAACAAAGTATCTGCTTATTTCCGCTATTGGAGAATGACCCATTCTATTTCACGAAGTTGTTTTCGTGTTAAATTTGAATGTGTATATAAGAAGGACGAGATTGACACACAGGGGCGGGGAGTTAATATTTGCATTTCTGCCACTGTACATAAGATACCCGGTATGTATACATATATATATATATATATGTGTGGTTTTAGTCAAACTCCGGAGTTCGGTGCTCGAGTAATTTTGTTTACAATTCATCATAACATTAAATTGTAAAAAAGAGATTCATCACTGGAAAGCTTTTTTAAGTTTTCATCATTGACTTTTATTGTCATTAAATAAGAGAATTTTTTAAGTAGATGATAGATTATTTTTTTGAAGGGTGACGTAAATAAGTCATTGTTTAGTTCGGTCATCATCCTTGGGTTAGTTCGGTCATCATCCGGTGATTTAGATAAACACAAAATATATTGAGTCGACGACGGCCGAGTACTTTGTATTAATTAATCTATCATAATTATAGGTATTTTTAGTGATTTTTTTGTTTTTGTGTAAAGAAAAACCTAACATGATCTCTTAATAAGTTTTAATTTCATTTTTTTACATATAATTTGTGGATGTTCCTGATTTTTTTTGGACAATGTTCCTGTGTTTTATTATAATGGATGTTGTTGTTGTTTTAAGTTTTATCGGATGATCGTGTTATTGTGTTGTCATTAACCTGCAGGAGCGACAACTACAGGTACTGGGAGTGTATTACTGCTACATGCATTCCACAGGTGTATCGTCCAGGTGATTACCCATAATTCTTTTTTTTTTTATTTCTTGTTTTATCTTGTTTTTTGTTTTTGGTTTTCCGACAAAAGATAAACCTTTTCCTCGCAGTTTTATAATAATCCAAAGCTTGTTGTCGATAACCTTAGGCCCTGGGGTCCTGCTATGGTCCTGTGGTCCTGTAGGGGTCCTATGGTCCTGTTAGGGTCCTATAGGCCTGTTAGGGTTCTATGGGCTTGATAGGGTACTATGGTCCTCCTAGGGTTCTATAGTTCTCCTGGGGTACTATGGTCCTACTGGGATCCTATGGTCCTGCTAGGGTCCTGTTGTCCAGTGGCGGTCCTGTGGTCCTACTAAGGTACCGTGGTCCTACTGGGGTCCTGTAGTCCTCCTGGGGTTCTATAATCATATTGGAGTCCTGCTGGGGTCTTATGGTCCTGCTGGGGTCATAGGTCTTGGGGTTCACATCTTCCAAGTTTTAATAATTCCATAATTGCGCAAAAAACTCCTGATGACACTCAGAGCCGAGTCATCTCCCAGAGGTGATCAGCGGTTGTTAGGTTGCTTGGTGTAGTGGTTGTTTGGCACTGGCGCGAGGAGGAAAGTGCCGGTTGTTAGTTACTTACTTGGAAATACCGGCGGTCGACCCCCCCTAAAAAACCCGGAAGTAATTGATGTTTGGCACTGTCTTGAGAGGAATGTGGTTGATGCAAGTTGCTTAACATAAACACTGCCGGTCGACCCAAACTGGAAGAAAATTTGTAATAAAGTCGATATCTGGCACCGGCGTGAGGAAGAAAGTACCGGTCGGCGGTTTTCTGACCGGGGATGTGGGTGGGGGGAGACGGACAGTGGCGGTAGTGCCATGTTGAAGGAAGTACCAAGGTCAGCAAACACCTCCCCGGACAGTCACCGGCCGCCACTGATTGCACTCTTGGCCGCGGTGGACACATGTGCCAAAATTTGGGTGTTGCGCTGAGCTGGTGTGACCAAAACAAAGCCATTACCCCAAACAGCCCGGCCTTGTGTTCCTGTGTTTTGGTGGAGTTTTAAGTTTGCCCTCACCTATATGGTTGTCCCCTCCTCATACACAATAATAATAATAATAATATTAATAAAATAATAATAATAATAATATCGCTGTGTTAATATTAATTCTGATTGTTTAGATTTTTTCTTGTTTGTTGATGATTATTTTCGTTTTATATTTTTGCATATTTGTATAACGGCCTGTGAGGACTCACATGTTGGTGCCCTGCACAACAGGAATGGGGTGTCACACACTCTAGGCGCCTGTAGTACTATAGTGTTGTAGAGAAATGCGACTGCCCACACAACACGCACGCGAAGGGCCTCGTCAGTTATTATATCAAGCGGCCATCTTCAGCCTCTCGTTGTACTGTAGAAGAATATTAACAATATGGGAAACAATATAATAATAGGGACGTGAAGGATCTTCTTTTGGACGCGAGAAGGACCTCGAGGTTGTCATTACTCGCCCGTCCTCAGCGTCTTGTTTAGCCGTATAAATAATAGTGAGAATAAAACAATGTGGACGCGAAGGACCCGGCCTCGAGGGCGTCATTTATCGCCCATCTTCACCGTCTCTTGTAGAAGTGTAAACACAGTAGTGAAAAATATATTAAGATTTGAAGTGGTTGAAGAGTTGGTTGGGGAGCAGCAGTAGTGGCCGAGGTCCCGTGCGTGCGTGGTTCTGTGTGTCTCGACGTGCCCCCAATCTCAGGTGTTTGCCGCGGTAGTGCTGCCCGCCCTGTTGTGCAAGGGAGATCTTGTCCCTGCAATAATATGTGAGCAATAAGTGCAAGTGGCTCCAGACAACACCTTAGCCTCTGCAACATTTTGGGGGGGCCGGTTTTTACAACCATTTAGAATCTGTCAAAAAAACTAAATGATAATTATAATAAAAAATAACTTAGTTCATGTAAACGCATAGGCTCGGATTTGGGTTCATGTGGACCACCTGTTGTTATGAGGCCTACCGTAGGATATTACCAGTAGAGGCTGACTCACGCTCTCCTCCCCAAAGTGCTGCGGCAACGTTGTGCTGGAAGTTTATATACATGGATTATTAGCAATAGGATGTATATATAAATATATTCATGACGCAAAAAAATTCCTCCTTAACGAGGAAATAATTATAAAATGAATAAAACTATTATAATATTTAGCCATTAAGACGTACCACGGCACACTTAGCATTGTGCGAGAGGAACCTTAGCCAAGCATAAAGCTGGGTTCTTTATGTTTATTTATCAAGCTGCCTAAATATTGTTGTGTGAGACTAAGCCGTGAGTCGTATGTGCATTGTATAAACCTCAGTTCCCTCCCCCCCGTCCGCCTCCAAGCTCCGTCCCGCCACAGTCCCCGCCTCACATTACTCCAAACACCACTGATTGGTCGATTAGAATTTCCCGCCGAACCTTTGCCCCGAACGGCATCACCGGTCGGGCGTTTGAACGGTTCGTGATTGGCTAATTTTTTTGTTTTGTTTTTTTGCTTGAAATTCTGAGTTGACCAATGAGGGCCAGAGAAATGGGTGGAGACTGGGCGAGGCTTCTCTTGGAGGCTGAAGAAAGGTGGGGGAAGGAGCAGCTTTGTGAACATTAAGGGTGTTCGTTCGTCATTACGGGCGTCCTGGAGTGTGTTCTTATATACGCTAAACGTTAAGGTAAGACAATGGTAATACAGTATGATATTATACCTGAAGGAACAAATAAACATGTATTGTCCACAAACTGTATAACCCACTTTGTTTTTTTTCAACCTACACAGTTATATAGATTCTTCAGTCTACAACAATTTATACAAATGTAGTGAAGAATTGAAGGATTTAGTCATAATACTCATACATTATAGAAGACTTTTTATTCATTGATACCAAGAGGAAGGCTGGCAGACATGTACAATAATTCATCAGAAAATGTATGACGGAATATTGACAAGAAAATACTGTTTCTTGATGTATACTATAGGACTACTTATACATGCTCTCATACATGTACTTAGCGATCATACACTCGTGTACTTATACGATCATACACAGACATTCATACTTTATATACGTACGTGCTTGATCATACACATTCATACAGTACACTCATACATGCACTTAAACGATCACACACACACACACACACACACAGGTAAACAAGCACACTCACATAACTAAAACAAGATGCAAAACATTATTGAAACCATAAAAAGAAAAAATATATATATTATAGAAAAAAAAATCATAGTTGAAGAAAATAAATAACTATGAAAACTGAAGGACATGAGGACACGCAACAAACACAAGGACACGCAACAAACACAAGGACACGCAACAAACACAAGGACACGCAACAAACACAAGGACACGCAACAAACACAAGGACACGCAACAAACACAAGGACACGCAACAAACACAAGGACACGCAACAAACACAAGGACACGCAACAAACACAATGACAAACAACAAACACAAGGACACGCAACAAACACAATGACAAACAACAAACACAAGGACACGCAACAAACACCTTTGATCAGAAACAAGAAGCTGGGAAGGTCATCATGATTAACCTTTGACCTGGTCAGGAGATAGTCGATGAGAGACCACTGGACAGATTGACACAATAAACTCCATGAGAATAAACGGAACGAAATGAAATTCACAGGAAATAGTCTAAAATGGCCGTCGCTCTGCTGTGTTACTAAATTTCTCAACATCAGCAGCACTAAGGCTGAACCAGAAAAGCCTTCACAAAACACTATATTAACGAGTGTTATATTTCAACACATTAAAAATAAATATTATATAACCAAAAACATTTATACCATTGAAGAAAATAAACAAAAGACCAAATGAATGTAGGAGAACAATTAGTAACGACCGAACTACCATTAAGAAGGGGTGGCGCGTCCTGTCACCAGCACTGAGTAGCCATTTGACGGACGACTGTTGGAGTAGTTGGTTACATTGCTGTGTCTCCAGAATATTACACAGTATTCCAGGAAATTACGCAAGAAACACAGTTATTACAGGTAAGGTGATCTACGTCTTCAAGCAGGTGTTGTTAATAACTAAACTAAAACTAAAGTACACCTGTGTGACTCAATTTGTGTATACTTACATCTTACACGTTAATGTTCACTCCCAAGAAATGTCATTTGGCATCAAAAATACGCCTGAACTAATTAATATCTTGTTGTTTTGACATTTTAGATTAAAAAATAGATTTTGTTTAAATTTCATACACGGGGACTACTTTACATGCTAATTAAGGATATGCCTTTACAATTTGAAAATTCGAGTAATTAGTGGTAATTAATGACCTTTGAAATAATTAATTATATTTAGATCATTTAAATAGTTAATTACGCTTTGCCCGTAAGTTTTAATTCATCTTTATATAGACTTTCTTAAAAGTATAGACCCCAGGGACGCCAGCGCTCCGCGGGGCCCTCTCAGTGGCAGCGGCGCCCCGAGGGGCCATCCCAGGGGTTATGGTGGTCCTAGGAGCATTCACTGGGGCAGGCGCAACCCCAAGGGCCCTCATTACGTGTGGCGGCGACCCCAAGGACACTCCATGGGCGGCAGCGACTTAGTGAGACCTCCCATGGGCAGCGGCCACCTCAGGGGCCCTCCCAGGAACGGCGGGGGCCCTCCGAGGGACGGCAGCGACCCCAGGGACCCACCCAAAGACGGCGGCGCCCATAAGGGCCCTCCCAGATGTGGTTGCGCACCAGAGGCCATCCAAGGGGTGGCGACTACCCCAGGGGCCATCCTAGGGACGGCGGCGTCATCATGGCCACACCAGGGGCGTCGTATCCCAGCCGGGCCAAATACGTCTGGTTTGGGCCAAATAGGACCGGTTGAGGCAAAATAGGTCCGCAGGGGCCAAATTGGTCTGAAGTAGATTGTCATAGAAAACGGGAAATTTGTATCACAGAAAACGTGAAATATTTCTACTTTCTGGGAAAGTTGGTTATCTACTTATCATAGAAAACGGGAAATTTGTATCATAGAAAATGGGAAATATCTACTTTCCGGGAAAGTTGGTTATCTACTTTCCCGAAAAGTAGATTATCTACTTTTCCGGAAAGTAGATTATCGACTTTTCTTGGAAGTAGATTATCGACTTTTGGGAAATATTAAAAAATTTTCCAAAGTAGATTATCATAGAAAACGGGAAATTTGTATCACAGAAAACGTGAAATATTTCTACTTTCTGGGAAAGTTGGTTATCTACTTATCATAGAAAACGGGAAATTTGTATCATAGAAAATGGGAAATATCTACTTTCCGGGAAAGTTGGTTATCTACTTTCCCGAAAAGTAGATTATCTACTTTTCGGGAAAGTAGATTATCGACTTTTCGTGGAAGTAGATTATCGACTTTTGGGAAATATTAAAAATATTTTCCAAAGTAGATTATCATAGAAAACGGGAAATTTGTATCACAGAAAACGTGAAATATTTCTACTTTCTGGGAAAGTTGGTTATCTACTTATCATAGAAAACGGGAAATTTGTATCATAGAAAATGGGAAATATCTACTTTCCGGGAAAGTTGGTTATCTACTTTCCCGAAAAGTAGATTATCTACTTTTCGGGAAAGTAGATTATCGACTTTTCGTGGAAGTAGATTATCGACTTTTGGGAAATATTAAAAAATTTTCCAAAGTAGATTATCATAGAAAACGGGAAATTTGTATCACAGAAAACGTGAAATATTTCTACTTTCTGGGAAAGTTGGTTATCTACTTATCATAGAAAACGGGAAATTTGTATCATAGAAAATGGGAAATATCTACTTTCCGGGAAAGTTGGTTATCTACTTTCCCGAAAAGTAGATTATCTACTTTTCGGGAAAGTAGATTTTCGACTTTTCGTGGAAGTAGATTATCGACTTTTTGGGAAATATTAACATATTTTCCAAAGTAGATTATCATAGAAAACGGGAAATTTGTATCACAGAAAATGTGAAATATTTCTACTTTCTGGGAAAGTTGGTTATCTACTTATCATAGAAAACGGGAAATTTGTATCATAGAAAATGGGAAATATCTACTTTCCGGGAAAGTTGGTTATCTACTTTCCGAAAAGTAGATTATCTTTTCGGAGAAAGTAGATTATCGACTTTTCTTGGAATATCGACTTTTGGGAAATATTAAAAAAATTTCAAGTAGGTTATCATAGAAAACGGGAAATTTGTATCACAGAAAATGTGAAATATTTCTACTTTCTGGGAAAGTTGGTTATCTACTTATCAAAGAAAACGGGAAATTTGTATCATAGAAAATGGGAAATATCTACTTTCTGGGAAAGTTGGTTATCTACTTTCCCGAAAAGTAGATTATCTACTTTCCCGAAAAGTAGATTATCGACTTTTGGGAAATATTAACATATTTTCCAAAGTAGATTATCATAGAAAACGGGAAATTTGTATCACAGAAAATGTGAAATATTTCTACTTTCTGGGAAAGTTGGTTATCTACTTATCATAGAAAACGGGAAATTTGTATCATAGAAAATGGGAAATATCTACTTTCCGGGAAAGTTGGTTATCTACTTTTCCGAAAAGTAGATTATCTACTTTTCGGGAAAGTAGATTATCGACTTTTCGTGGAAGTAGATTATCCACTTTTTGGGAAATATTAAAAAATTTCCCAGTAGTTATCATAGAAACGGGAAATTTGTATCACAGAAACGTGAAATGTTCTACTTTCTAGGAAAAGTTGGTTATCTACTTATCATAGAAAACGGGAAATTTGTATCATAGAAAATGGGAAATATCTACTTTCCGGGAAAGTTGGTTATCTACTTTCCCGAAAAGTAGATTATCTACTTTTCGGGAAAGTAGATTATCGACTTTTCTTGGAAGTAGATTATCGACTTTTGGGAAATATTAAAACAATTTCCAAAGTAGATTATCATAGAAAACGGGAAATTTGTATCACAGAAAACGTGAAATATTTCTACTTTCTGGGAAAGTTGGTTATCTACTTATCATAGAAAACGGGAAATTTGTATCATAGAAGATGGGAAATATCTACTTTCCGGGAAAGTTGGTTATCTACTTTCCCGAAAAGTAGATTATCTACTTTCCCGAAAAGTAGATTATCGACTTTTCGTGGAAGCAGATTATCGACTTTTGGGAAATATTAACATATTTTCCAAAGTAGATTATCATAGAAAACGGGAAATTTGTATCACAGAAAATGTGAAATATTTCTACTTTTTGGGAAAGTTGGTTATCTACTTATCATAGAAAACGGGAAATTTGTATCATAGAAAATGGGAAATACCTACTTTCCGGGAAAGTTGGTTATCTACTTTTCCGAAAAGTAGATTATCTACTTTTCGGGAAAGTAGATTATCGACTTTTCGTGGAAGTAGATTATCCACTTTTTGGGAAAAATTAACCAAACTATTTTCCAATAGATTATCACATAAAACAGGAAATTTGTATCACGAAAAACGTAAATATTTCTACTTTCTGGGAAAGTTGGTTATCTACTTATCATAGAAACAGAAATTTGTATCATAGAAAATGAAAAATATCTACTTTCCGGGAAAGTTGATTATCTCTTTCCGAAAAAGTAAATTATCTCACCTAAAGGAAAAAGTAGATATCACATTTCATTGAAGTAGATTATCGAATTTTTGAAATAATGGCCTAACGTATTTTCCAAAGTAAGATTATCATAGAAAACGAAAATTTGTATCACAGAAAATGTAATCTTTAGGAAAGTTAATTTATACCTTCTTGAAAACGGGAAATTTGTATCTGAAATACTTTCCGGGAAAATTAAAGATCTTTTAAATCTGCTTTTTCGGGAAAGTGAATTCAAACTTTCATGATAGATTATGTTTGGGAAATATTAACGCATTTTTCCAGTGATTATCTAGAAACAGGAAATTGTATCACAGAAAATGTGAAATATTTCTACTTTCTGGGAAAGTTGGTTATCCTTATCATAGAAACGGGAAATTTATCACTGAAAATGGAAATATCTACTTTCCGGGAAAGTTGGTTATCTACTTTCTAGTAGATTATCTACTTTTCAGAAAGTAAATTTTCGACTTTTCGTGGAAGTAGATTATCAACGAAATATTAACGTATTTTTCCGAAGTAGATTATCGCAGAAACAGGAGAATTTGTATCACAGAAAATGAAATATTTTACTTTCTGGGAAAGTTGGTTATCTGCTTATCATAGAAAACAAATTTTTATCATAAATAAATATCTACTTTCCGAAGTTGGTTATCTACTTTCCCAAAAGTAGTTATCATACAGGAAAGTAAATCACCGTTTTCATTGAAATAGTTATCGACTTTTGCGGAAAATACTAACATTTTCCAAAATAAATTATCATAGAAACAGAAGTAGTATTACAGAAAATTTGAAATATATCTACTTTCTAGAAAATGAATATCTACTTATCATAGAAACTGGGAAATTAAATAATAAAGCAGATATCTACTTTCGAGAAAGTAGGTTAACTACTTTCCCGAAAAGTAGATATATCTTCGAAAAGTAGATTTTCTACTATCGAAATAGATTATCGACTTTCGGGAAATATTAACGAAATATTTTTCCAAATGTTATCAAAACAGAAATTTGTATCTGAAAAGAAATACTACTTTCTGGAAAGATTGGTTATCTACTTATCATAGAAAACGAAATTTTATCATAGAAAGAAATATCTACTTTCAGAAGTTGGTTATCTACTTTCAGAAAAAATAGATTATCTACTTTTCGGGAAAGTAGATTCCTTTTCGTGGAAGTAGATATCGAATTTTGGGAAATATTAGCTATGTTTTCCAAAAGTAGATTATCGCAGCGGAGAAATTTATACTCACAGAAAATGTGAAATATTTCCTGCCTAGGAAAGTTGGTTGTATCTACTTATCATAGAAACGGGAAATTTGTATCATAGAAAATGGGAAATATATAGGAAAGTTGGTTATCTACTTTCCCGAAAAATAGATATCTACTTTTCAAGGAAAGTAGATTTTCGACTTTTCATTGGAAGTAGATTATCGACTTTTTGGGAAATATTAACGTATTTTCAGTAGTTATCATAGAAAACGAAATTTGTATCTGAAAATGTAAATATTTCTACTTTCTGGGAAAGTTGGTTATCTACTTATATAGAAACGGAAGTTGTATCATAGAAAATGGAAATATCTACTTTCCGGAATGTTGGTTATCTACTTTCGAAGTAGATTATCTACTAAAGGAAAGTAGATTTTCGACTTTTCGTGAGTAGATTATCGACTTACAGGAAATATTAAGCCTAACATGTTATTTTCCAAAGTAGATTATCATAGAAAACTGGGAAATTTGTATCTGAAAATGTAAATGTTTACTTTTCTGGAAAGTTGAACATCACTTATCACGAAAACGAAATTGTATCATAATGAAATATCTACTTTCCAGGAAGGTTGATTATCTTTCAAAGAAGTAGATATCTGCACCACTAAGGAAAGAAATGGTGCCTAAAACTTTTCGTGGAAGTAGATTATCGACTTTTGGGAAATATTAATAAACATATTTTAAGTAGTTATCATAGAAAACGGGAAATTTGTATAGAAAATGTGAAATATTTCTACTTTCTGAAAGTTGGTTATCTACTTATCCTTGACATTTGTATCATAGAAAATGAAATATCTACTTTCCGGGAAGAGTTGGTTATCTACTTTCGAAAGTAGATATCCACTAAAGGAAAGTAGATTTTCGACTTTTCGTGGAAGTAGATTATCGAATTTTTGAAATATTAGCCCTAACGTATTTTCCAAAGTAGATTATCATAAAACAGGAAATTTTATCACAGAAAATGTAAATATTTCTGGGAAAGTTACCGATTATCATATCATAGAAA